TGAAAACGACTTCTCAGTTCGCTGTATAAAAAAACGCCAGTAAATAAACTACAAACTATTCTCAATATAAATAAGCTCCTGAAAACAAACGAAGCATATACATAACTAAGTTAGGAAACAAGAAACACATCTTTGGAATGGAATTGGTGAAATATTGGTATCATTTATCATGTTGCAATGCTGGCCGTTCATTCTCTGGACAATGGGTGCGTTATACGCTCAACTGCGCGTTACATTGTGTTAATGATCTGCATGAGATATGGGTAGTTATTGGTTGTAGCTATGTATTTAATGGTTGATATTGTTTGAGACGAAATCGAGACTACATTCTGTTAGACTGGTTTATTGGGTATATGCCTAATTTTTAATTTAATTTATTTTCTTACAGAAACGAATACTCTCGACGATATATTGATTCATAAAATGTACATAGAAGTAATGTCGCGTGACGACACTTCTATGTACATTTTATGTATTATTATACGACAAAATAAAAAAAATAATGTCTAATATTTTTTCATTAATCAACTTACGGACTAATTACATTTTTATTTTTTATACTTGGATGTCTTCTTACAAAGTCGTAGTACTCGTATTATGCTTTGATGGTCCCTGCTACTGCAAAGTAAAAGTTTTCGTGTTCGATTTACGAGTAGAAAAAGATTTACTGATCTCTTTTTAGTTGTTTTTCACAAAATTGTCCCCAGTATTAAAAAAGAAAAGTAACACAAAAATTTGTTGATGTTACATTGTACGTACGTACATCACTACCTACCCCTTCAGTGTGAAAAACACGTTCACTATTATATTCAAATTCATTTATACCATTTATTCTTTCTTCCATAAGTATATGGCTATGCAAGTCAAACATAAAGTTCTAAATATTCACACTCAGCTATCGCTTGGAACAGAAAACGTTAATCAGTTCACCCATCTTAAAGACAACGTAATAACAATTTGGAAATATAAAGCGCAAATAACTCCAATTAACCTATATTTACAAAGAAATGATCACATTATGCTAATAGAATTACAGGCAAATAATTTTAATATTAATGTTATTCTATTACTGAATAACAACGAATAAAGTCGAAAATAAAGTACCTACTTTCTGAACATTCTTGAACAATAACTTAGAAACAAGAATCCATCTAGCAAGTTTAGTATAAATATTATAATTAAATATAATTTCCCGTTGGACCACGAGGAGTATTTACGTGGGAGTTTCTATACTGTAATAACAATCTTGATTCTTTGTATTATGATATTTTAAACGGCTCGTGGATAGACGGACTAACTACCTTTTCGGATCGTTGTACTGAGTACGCTGGTACGAAGAGGTCTGGACTCAGGAGTATTTATTGGTCAGAAAAGGATTCAAAATTAACACGTTGGTTAGTGGTTACTGTGTACTGTGTAGGCCATCGATGGTCTGTGTTAGCAAAAGGTTCGCTTTTTATTGCTTTCACGTGGTAATAGAGTTACCTAAAAATAATTACGGGCCTTTCCTAGGGCATATGATATGAATAGATACATACGAACAAATCAAGTTTTTTTTTATGGCATAAGCCGGTAAACGAGCAGAGGATCGCCTGATGGTAAGCAATCGGCGTCGCCCATGGACATCTGGAACACCAGAGGCGTTACAAGTACGTTACCGGCATTTTGGGGATTGGGAGTTTGAGGATCATTAGGGATTCAGGAATTGGGGAGATTGGGGAAGGGGAGGGTAATTAGGCCTCCGGTAACCTCAGTCACACGACGAAACACAACGCAAGCGTTGCTTTACGTCAGTTTTCTGTGAGGCCGTGGTATCCCTCCGGTCGAGCCGGCCCATTCGAGTCGAAGCATGGCTCTCCCACACTTTTTAACTATCAAACAAATTACTTTATTATTTATAAAAAATAATTACAATGCCTATTTATTGTCAACATTTGTTATTCCACGTTCGGGTTACTTTTGACCATATATATTTCACAAACGGAGGTATAAACATGAGAATGATAACAAAAGAAATATCTATTTAACAACGCATAGGTACTACTAAATACCGCTTCCACCATCGATGTATGTCAACAATACATCAATTAGACTACCTGATCTAAGGCCTGTGACAAGATCGGTTTCCGCAATCTCGGATTGATGAGGCCGAGCATCGGAATCCAATAATCTAAGATGGCCGACCATTTGTTAGTGTTGTGTTGTCATTATTGTCATTGATCTTCGTGATATGAACATTTTGTTTACGAGAAAACCAGTTAGGTATGTATCAGGAATATGATTGCTTTATAGGCTGTTAGATGATATGTTTTGGGTTTGTAGTAGCAAAAATAGTCATGTTTATTTAATCATATTACTATACTAGCTTCGCCCGTGTTCTCGTGGGATGAAAGTAGTCTATTTTTTATTCTAGACCATATTTATCTGTACTAACCATGATATTATGTTATGTTCGTTAAGCAATTCTTTGTCTAATATGTTATTGTTTAATCAACATTACCGCATAATTTAACTAGCATTCAGACTAAATTATAAAAGAACTACAAATACCAATAGAAACCAAAAAAATATTGCACATACAATCCCAACACGTGAAATTAATTTTTGTTCCAAACAAAGGGGTTCAGATTATGATCTCAACATTATAATTTACGTCCATATACTCTCCAATTATCCTCTAACCACACCGGTAAAAGCCTACCAAGCCTTCTAATTGCAAACGTCCCACCCGCTTAGCGAAGTCAGAAAACTATTTTCAAAACAAAACTTCGGGTCCGATTCAGACAAATGTGGTGTCATTAGTTTTGTAGTCGGAACAAAACTAGCTAGTTAAAATGTTTTAAATCCGACCTCACCTGGGCTTTTGGACAAAAGTTATTTTCGAACCAAAAAGGACTACCTTTAGTGACAAAAGTTTATTCTATTCAATATTCATAATTATTATACCTAATGCTTTCGTCGGTCGTTCATAATCACGAATTCACGACCATGGGATTACGTCCAGAATATTGTAGTTAGTTTTTTTTTTAATGCTGAACCATCAATTTAGTTTTTAATTCCTTAATCCAGTGGATCCTAAAGTTGTCTGGACTACGACCTATCCAAATCAAGTTCCCAAACTCAGGATTCACCTTCAGAGAATTAAACCCTTACTAATATGAAAAACAGAATACAGAACGGTTGGTAGTCCGTCTTTCTACAGACAAGGCCCATTAAAAATTCGCTTGCGGCCCACCAATGGTTCGGGAAACCTAAACTTTGGTTGTCGATTTATAATCCATTCTAATACGGCTACAAAAGCAACATCCTTTACAGTAAAAATAAATAAACTGTCTCGTTGGCCGAGTGGTCGCAAGTGTGACTGCCGGGCAAGGGGTCTCGGGTTTGATTCCCGGGTCGTGCAAAGTACCTAGCAGTAGTAAGTAGCACGGAGTCTGGAATGCCCGGTATATGACAATAGGCTCACCCCCTATTACATGGGACTTATAGCATAAAAATTGAAAAGTGAGTGTTACATTGTAGGTACAGTGGCATTTAGTGCCGTAATGTGCACCTCTGCCTACCCCTTCGGGGATAAGAAGGCGTAATGTTGCAAAAGAAATAAATAAACACATACAAAATTTAAAACACAAAACTCGTCGACAATCAAAGATAACATAGTGTTGTATTCTATCAATATCTTTATCGACACTTTTATTATTCTCTCGATACTTTTATTACTCTATCGACTTCAATAAAACTTGTAAAAACAAGATAGTATCGATAGGGGATCGACGAAAGTTTCTGTCATGAATATCGTTGTTGTAAATTGTATGTTTATCTTACTGTGTGTATTGTCGATTGAGTCAATATTACTTTTTAGTGATTAAATTGTGTTTTGTGAAAAGGAAGGATAGATTTGGGAAGTTAGGATTTTTTATGTGGGTTCCGATACACTGGAAAAACTTTCCTTCTTTACTTTTAAATATGTTTTGAATCATTTTGAGTCATACATATTATTTACTATTTGCTTACATAACTGTTTACGAGGTAATTGATACCATTTCAAGCCATGTTAGGAGCTCATATTCGTGAACAGCATTTATTTTCACTATTTATTTAACGTAGATAATACCCACTTGTCTTGAAATCAATTATTTTTAAGTAACGTATAATTTACGCTTCAGAACGAAATAAAAATTTACTTTGGTCTCACAATTTTTCGATATTTTAAACATTTTCTCAACACTTTTGAGAACCCTTAAGCAGTTTCTTAACTACGCACTTCCTAAACTATTTCCAATACTAAACAAGCAACTTCAATTCAAGATAAAGATCACATCTAAACAGTTTTTACTTCACTACCGTTAACATTTGATCAAAGTCCCTTCGAAGTTCAACTTACGAAGACAATCGTACCAGTATAAAACTAAATGTCCCGAGGTCCATTCCGACGGCTATAGTCATAATCGTTGGGTCTGATGTATATAGCATTTAATCTACACTGAAGGCGTGGGGTCCTGAATGTCCAATCGAGGGTAAATCGGTTTATATCGAACAAAAAACTTTTTCAAAAGAGGTTATATGTTATAAGTATGTTAGATATTTTGAATGCACTAAAGCTTACTCTTGAAATTACCAATCCGCCTTAAACAAGCGTGGTGATTGATGCTCAAACTTTTTCCGTTTGAGAAGAGGCCTTTGTTCAGCAGTGGGCACTTATAATTTTATGGAATAAGCCAATAAATGGGCAGATGGATCACCTGATGGTAAGCAATCGACGTCGCTCATGGACACCTGGAACACCAGAGGCTTTACAAGTGCGTTACCGGCGTTTTGGGGATTAGAAATTTGAGGATTCAGGGATTGGGGGGATTGGGGAAGAGAAGGGTAATTAGGCCTCCGGTAACCTCACTCACATGATGAAACACAACGCAAGCGTTGTTTCACGGCGGTTTTCTGTAAGACCATTCCAGTCGAGCCGACCCATTCATGCCGAAGCATGGCTCTCCCACTCTTAAAATGGATGATATATGATTATGTGGACTTATAGGCTGATAAATTATTATGTAGACTTACTCTTAGACTTTTTTTAAGGGGGGAAAAATCATCCAATGACTTCTCCTGCCCGGGTGAGGCGGGAGGGAATGTCAGACTCTTGACTAAAAACCACCCCGTTCCTACTCCTGCACTTCGAGCCGGAGCCCCGATAACCCGTTAAGTCTTCCGTAGCTTCGTATCGGCATCAGCCCTGTTGGGCCCTATCTCTGGTGTTCTGATGGTCCTACTCTTAGACTTGGAGACACATTTATTCCAAAAGGTGAACATAAAAAATGCAACTCACACTATAACAATTTTCTAAACAACACCTCACTATAGTAACTCATAACGAACCACACTACAATCCGCTATAATCATTTGGCTTGACGCATTAACGTTTAATCTACCCAAAATGGCGGCACCATTTAAGACTTACGACGCAATAATTTTAGTCAAGACGAGTAGCAATTTAAGCTATAGAGTGGTAGATAGTGTCGTTACTATGTATTATGCGTGATATATGAACACTAGAGTGGTCCCAGTGACGGCGGAACGTTAATTTTGATTATACTAGAGGCGAGACGCGTGTATCGATTCTCGAAAAAAGGTCGAGGTTTTTATTTTCTTGAAAAGGGTCTCAACGTGTTTGTTGCGAAATATTGCTTGTCTTTTCGCGTTTATATCAAAATTGGGCTTTATTTTAGATTTTTGCATGAGTTAAACTTAAAATGCGTTTTAATTTAAAATAATGTTATAAATTATTTTACTATGAATGAATTACCCTTGTTATGAAGGTGACTATCGCTTTTAAGAATAAATTAGTCTAAAAAGTCTTAAACAGAGACGTATAATAATTATGAGTTATAGTTTATAACGACGTTATTTTTTTCCTTTTAAAATGAGTACTTACTAGTGTACAAATCAATCTTTATTCATTAATATTTAACAACAAACAGCTACAGTTCTGAAACCGCTTACTTAGTTAAACCGTTGATTCAGCAACTCAAACTGCGATACGAGATATTACCATTTTGTCACGATTCTTACCAGTTTGTTAAATAGCAACTGTTCGATGTTAGATTATACTAGCTGAGCCGCGACTTCGTCCACGTGGAATAGTAATTCACAGCTCCTCCCCCATAGTTGATAGCATGATTATATGTAGTCTATATGTTGACCCGATCTGTCAGTAATATTCATGAAAAATTTTAAATAAATTCTTGCAGCACTTTTTGAGTTTATCCCGGACATACTGACAAAAATTCATACAGACAAAAACATTGAATTGAAAACCACCTTTGCTACCCGCTTTTCGTCGTTTCTATCTATACGAATCTTTAACACAGTCAACAAATCGACACTCAAAATCCCTGGGAATACATTCGAAGCCAAAACTATTATAAAGGCATGGCTGCGTAACCTGACGTACGACGATACAGAAAACCTCTTGTGCTCCCTGAAATAACTTAATAAAAGACCACAATTCAACAATAGCGCGCTCACGTAAGCTCACATGCACCCTCTCACACACACACACACACACACCCCTCTCACACACACACACACACACACACACATACAGTAACTAACTGCCTTATCTGAGTCCTAGTTATTTTTATTTATTTATTTTTATGGTTTCTAATGTTATTTTCCAAATACAGTAAGGTAATGAGCGATTGGCTCTTACAAGTTTACCTACAGTGATCAAGTTTCATAATGAAATACGTTATTCACCATGTCTGCATGCTTTGTTATACCCACCTGCATTTGTCTGATTATCTAATCACTTGTATTTCTTACTCAAAATTTGCTTATTATTTGTTTATCACTTTTGTATTATTTTCTGTTCACTATTTTATGTTGTATGGTTGCACTGTAACTTTGATGCGAGAACCAACTAGTCAAAACCTTTACCACTGGGCCACCAAGATACAGGCTGCGCCTAGTTTGGGGCCCACGGGCACCTCTACCGTATCTGTATTTATGTAAATACTGTTTGCTTCCATGCCTACATGTAATCTAACTTGTGTATGCCAATAAACAAATTTTATTTTATTTTTTTATTTTACATATAAAATTCTAAAATCTATATTTTTGGTTTCTTTATCGACTGTAGACCACGCTCATTTTTTTAATTGATAGTTCCTCTACATAAGGTAGTTTTCCGTAATCTCAACGAAAAACTAATATCCATACAGGCATTCTTGTCTTGCCTATCCTAAAGACAAAAATATCTATGTATACCTTAGGAAATATTCTCACGAACAAATAAATGAATTTAGTACAGTCGTTTTTCATTTGTTTCACCTGACAGACGACAGTTGGCACCGGCTGTTGAGATTCATTATATAAAACACACGCTTACGTTAACGAGTTATTTATAAAGCATACGAAAGTAAGATAACTTTGGTAGGAACTTTATCGTATACTGTTATGAATATTGTTACTACATGTTTAACTATTTTGGTAGATTTTGGGAAAGGAAGTCTTCTGATGTTACTTACGAGTATCAAATGCCTATTGATAGTTCGGCATTAGATGATCTGTCTAGTCGTTTGCCCACTTTCCATACATATAGTGTATTTTTTTCATGAAATAAGCCAAGACAAATAATAAGATGAGCATATGGATCACCTGATGGTAAGCAATCGGCGTCGCCGGCGTTACAAGTGCGTTACCGGCCTTTTGGGGATTAGAAATTTAAGGATTGTTGGGATTCAGGGATTGGGGAGGTTGAGGAGAGGGAGAGCTCTAATTGTACCTCCGGTAACCTCACTCATACGTTGAAATATAACGCACGCGTTGTTTTACGTCGGTTTTCTGTGAGGCCGTGGTATTACTCCCGACACTTAACAGTATGCTTTCTGACAAGAATCTGTCTTTTCTTTCAGCACTTATCTTAACTAGATACAGCTAAATATCCATAAAGTACGTTTTATTACTTTTATTGCTTTATACAACCCACTAGGCGAAACCTAAAGGATTTCAAAATTACTTCTGTAGACAAAATCTATATCAATTGAATTCTACCAGGTCTCAGAATCAATCGATTAACCGACATATTCCATCCTCTCACTACTTAGACCAAACCGTCATTACTTGAGCCGAAATTCCGTTGGTATACCGCACAGCGCATTTCTCAGCACGCATGATATACCCCATCCACTCGACCAAACTAACTGAAACCCTTAAACTTCAATACCTCACGACTAACACTTGTATAGCAAAGAACGGGTTGAAAGGTCAAGATGTACTGGTACTTGAAACTATAAATGCGACGACAAGACTCTCCTTAGCCCTTGTTTTTACTATATTAAGGACGGATTAAATTATTTAAATTAAGTGTTTAAGGGTATGTTTTATGAACTTGAGTTAAAAGCTGTGTCAGTTTCATTTATATTTGTGATGCTATTATGAAGTTGTATTCAAGTTTTATACAGTTTGTGACCTTTAAACGTACTTTGATAATTTCTTACTAATTTATAACTGACAGTTACATAAAATGTACTTTATGGGAACGTTAAATATGAACTAATTTAATTTAAGAGTTCTTTACAGTGAATTGTGTATAATATGTAATAATTACCGTGTTGAACTTAACATTTTAACAGTTAAATTACTGAATTTAACTGTAATACTGTTAAATAAACCAATACTTCGTATAAACAAAGTGATACACAAAAGCAAATACTACGTACTACCTAATAGAAATAAGTTTCCTAGAAAATTGTACACAAAATCGAATTTCGACGAAGCTTATTATTATTCATTTCCATTCCATAAATTTCGAAAGACCCCAAAAATTAAGACCTTAAAACGGGGTCCGGGACATTTAATTTCCGATCCAAATAATTATGGTCATCAGCTGAAAGCCCAGATAACTAGCTAGCGAACATTTTGTTAATTACTTGTAAATTAAAACAAATTCTTCGGTGTAAGACTGGCGACAATTATTTATGCGAAGTCCCTTCCTTTTTGGAACTTTAGCTGTTCGGAGATTTCGTTACTCAGGCCTTTAGAATATTCAGTATAAATTATTGTACTTTGTAAATATTTTATCGCATAGTAAAATAATATTTTTGGGACAAAATTTTATGTCCACGAAGTTTAAAAACTGCAGATAGTTCTTGAGTGTATCAGTTTACGAGTAAATCATATAATAACTTTCTCTAAGTATTTATCTTAACCTCAAACGTCTAGGAGGCACTATTACAGAAGAGTCTTTGAGGTTAAAACATGTGAAAGTCTCCTAACTTTAAGTGACATTCTCTAAAAAAATTAGTCGCATTTCCATACTGCATTTTTTTAAGGGGGAAAAATCATCAAAAGACTTCTCCCGCCTGGGTGAGGTGGGAAGGAGTGTCAGACTCTTACTGACTAAAAACCACCCCGTTCCTTCTCCTGCACTTCGAGCCGGAGCCACGGTAACCCGTTAAGTTCTCCGCGACTTTGAATTGGCCACAGCCCTGTTGGACCCCATCTGTGGTGGTCTAATGGCTCTTTGAGGCGCACGCGGAACGCGACGCGCCGTACGCTCGGGTCTGGTTCTGGTCGGACTGTTAGCCACCCATGCTCGCCGTCCGCAGGTCCGCGCTTATGGTGGCCGAAGATCGTCCCGCGATCCCCGACGCCCGGAGTGTCCTTCGCGATGGCTGGGTTGCGAGGAGGCAGCGCTTCGCTGCCTCACGCGTCCCGCCTCCTCCTTAGCTATCATGATTGCTTTGCAAAGGGAGGAGATTCCATGCTGCATTGCAGACCATTGTAAAATCAAACTTCTCACACTATATTATTTGTTTTACCAAAAGACCGTACCGTGTAGCCAAAACATCAAAATCTTCAATTTTGTATTGAAAAAATGTATTGTTTCATAATTTTGAAATATTGCCAGCTCATTTTGCTTAAACGATCCTTATATTCATATTATTATCAATATACCAATAATATTAGGCTTTTAACAATATTAAACACTAAATCACAATTTCATTATTATCATTTCAGTCCTTTACGTAAACCTTTCAGTAAATATTGATACACACAATTAGTTTTAAATACGCCATAATTTCTTTATTTTAGTTGTAGATGTTTATTTTGAAGTTTATAGAAATGAATATAACGAAAGCAAATTCAACATTTTATGTTTTATATATGGACTGGGTTTACGGTAAAAGAATTTATTCGAATAAAAACTAAAATAAAATTAAAACTAACTCTTACTAAATTAATAATAAAATATATACAACTTAAGATTGAAATTATTTAAAAGAAAAACAAAAACAACTATTTACATAAAGCATCGAAAAATTCGTCCGCATCGACGTCAGTGGGGAAAGTACCAAAGTAAAGTAAATAGTGGACGGTTGGTGCGGCGGCTAGGCAACTGGCCGGTAGCGGGTCCGATTCCCCCACGGAGCAACTCTTTGTGTGATCCACAAATTGTTGTTCCTGATGTAGGTGTCATGTTTATGTGAAATTGTATGTTTGTAAACACAATCGCGACAGTGGACGTGGTGTGCCAACATTAAAAAAAAGACAATTACATAACACAGTTTAACACAGAAGTAAACATCAGATACAGATTACTTAATAGAGAACTCTTGCCATCTACTATAGCCTATATAGGATATAGGTCTACATAATGACACAGAGTAACACTATAGAGAAGAGAGGAAGTACTTTACTCTGCAAAAACTACTACCACTTGCCTCTTTTTGTGCCTTTAGGCTTAATTCATTCAGTCTCTTGTAGTAATTCACCGAGGGAAGTAGAAACTATTGTTTCTTTTCGTCTCCCTTTATAACTCCTTCTGATTAATTTCGTTGCGCGAACGAAGACAGTTTTTCATGTACCTGGGACGCGTTGGACATCAGTGTACCGGTGTTTTCATGGTTGTATCTACCGTTGCAGTTTTGGGAGGTGGTGGGGGGCCTGTCATGTCATGGCATTAAAAAAAACTTACCACTTTGCTAATATCTGAAACTAAACTCCCGACTGCTTGCACGTCGGTAGCACTTACAACCATTTCATTCAAAGAGGTAGTTAAACAACTTAAACAAAAATAACTATATGATTCTAAATTTAAATTTGAACTTATTACGAAAGGTCAACGACAATTTGTTCAAATGAATTAACAAACAATCGTACTTAACGATTCTCTTACATAAAATAAAATCGTTTTTATTCAAAAAGGTATAATTATATCAACATTAACCGCTCTAATTACTTGGAAATGTTAATTGAGTGAAAAAAATGAAAATTCCGTACAAAAACTGAAATAAAAATGTTTCAGCCATTTTTTTAAGTGGACGTGTTTGCGTACTGTTTTTTTGTAATGGCGGATTGTATTACTAATTATATTATTATACCTTCCATGATGTAACATCTGGTTTGTAGTGCGTATAATATTTTATTTGATACTACCTTTTTTGTTAATTATGTGATCGGGGCCTTTAGCCAAACGCCACTTTAGCGCTTGTACAGAGAGTAGAAATCAAAATATATGGTGATGACACCGACAAATGTCAAAATTTAAGTCAATTCCATATAATTTGGTTTTCTATTCTACATGTAGACAAGCGCTAAATGGCATTTGGATACAGCTGCAGGACGAGAACTCTTTTGGAGTCTTCAAAAAGTTTCTAATTAAACTTATGAGTGTTGAGTATCTACATTGATAATGGTAGCCTACATGTGGAGAAATATGGGAATGGAATTTAAAGCCTTTGAAGTATAATCTTCAGTAAAGGTACCTAAACATGGAGATCGATTTTAGTCGAATGACAAACAAAGTTATCGTCTTGTCATACCTTACCTACTAATTTTTTTTAAACATAACATACCATACATCACATCGTTTATCCTCAAAAGTATAGGCAGTGAGGTGCACATTACTTAATGCCACAATGTAACACCCACTTTTCACAATTTATTTTAAGATATCCATATTAAAGTGTCGAGCCTATTGCCATATACCAGGCATGATTTCAGATTCCGTGCTTACTACTGAGATTTTTTTCAAACAACCCTATAATACTTTTCTCGACCCGGGAATCGACTCCGAGAGCTCTTGTACGGCAGTCGCACTTGCTACCACTCGGCTGACGAGGCAGTTTTTTAATACACTTCATGCACATAATGTACAATAGATGTACTTAATGCCCCAAGCATTTTCTCCCAGTCTAACCTCTGAGTAATGCAGAAAAAACTAAGTAGGTGCAAGAAAATACCTTTTTTAGATATTAATATGCACACACAAAACAGTATGACATATGATTGCTCAACCAACCTGCTCCCAAAACCATAATACAAACTAACCCAATCTACCTTGAAAAAGAGCAAAACAAAGATTGTAACACATGACAAAGTCCCCAAAAAATCTGTAAGAGTAAAGCCCAAACACTCAAAGTAAATACATTTAGTGAATCTCAGTAAATAGGGGTGCGCCAAGTCACACGTCCTTCTCTAAGGAGTAGTAGAGACGTGACACGATTATCGAATGTAACGTATCGATATTCTGGCGATTACTTTCAGGATACGGTCGGACGTGCTATGCAAGTGCGGTGCTGAAGTTCCTTGATAAATGGATAAAGTCCAAATCATGTTCTTGTATCTGCATTGCGTTTTATATGTGAGATACTAGGTGTACACCAGGATTTATCCATTATTTTTTTTTGCTAATAAAAATTAATGATCCATAGGGCCAAATGGCCAAATGGCAAATGCCATGAACAAAAATTTAGAAGACTTTGTACTTTCTTAGAAATAACTATTTTTTATGGGATAGGCATATGGCAAACGAGATCTGATCATTAACTGGCCTAGATTGGATCACCAGGTGGTAAACAATCAGCGCCACCCATAGTCATCTTGTATTGTGGGCCTTTGAGGGATTTGAGGATTTCTCTAGTCCTCTGGAGATTCTTTGGGGATTTTATGCTTTTTTGGAAGTTTTATCGCTAAAAGCGTACATTTAAACCTTAATTCAAGTCAACATTCTTACGAAACACCTGCTTTAACATTTGAGTGAATACAATGTTCCAGGAGCACACTTCTATAGCCTTTAATTTATAATGAAATTTGACTATATAAAGTCAAATTTCAATGGTAAGCGATCACAAAACATTGAATGGCCTCCTTTGTCAGGCAACTGGAACAAAGTGACAAATTAGCGTACTCCATCCCTCGCCTGTCGCAGTCAACCATCCAATTTAAAAATCAATCAACGATTTAGGGGCGAAGTGCTAAACTTTTAATACGAATTACGACTAAAATCTCCTTTGTTTTTTTAAATTACATTTGTTTTTTGAACGAATTTTTTAGATTAACTAAACATCGCGGGTTACTCACGTGTAAATAATGAGAAAAACTCTACTAGTTTCGAGCCACAGAGGGGTTCTTCCTCATGAGTAGCGTTCACTTTAGCGGTGATTTTGCGTATCCCACTGAGGCTACTACTACTACTACTACTACTACTACTACTACTACTACTACTACTACTACTCACTAGGCTGCGTGACATTGCCACGCATTAATATGTCTGACTATAGTTATTATAAACACGAATTTTGTAGTTTTTACATTCACACTTTTTTTATTCGCACTGAGCGTTCAACTACTAATTCGCCTGGTGGTAAACGATATGAATTCATAATTGATTTGCTAGCAAATATTCTTTTGAATACCGACGTCCTTCAAATAAATATGTACAGATTATGTACTGGACTTTAGCTAGAAATACGAAGGGCACAATAAAAATCCTTTATAGAACACTATAAAACCGATGGTACACATTTTGTTAAACGGCAGCACCCTTACGGCAGCGACCCCGAATCCTCTTTAATTAGACCCCATCTTTCTTATTTACCGGCTTAAGGCTTTGTAGTGTGTACTGGAGGAGTACAACCATTTTATTTCGTTGTAAATTTATAAGTAATGATAGGTATCGAATAAATAAAATCAAAAAGTATATCGTCAAATGACTAGGTCACATACGTACTTGAATAGGTGTTTAAAATAAAAGTATAGGCTAAGCGTGAATGGTTGTTTACCTCAGACTTTATAGCATCAGAAATTTAAAAAAAGAATGGGGATGATGACAGGGTATGAAAATTAAAAATATAATTAGTCCGTAAGTTAGGTAATGAAAAAATATTAGACACGTATTTTTTTATTTTGTCGTATAGTAAAACAATACTTAGATAAAACGAAACAAAGTTTAGGAGTGGGGCTAAAACGTCATTCTTAGTTTAAAATGTACTGAGAAGTGACGTCACGCGATTTCAAATAATATATCTTCGAAAACTATTTCGTTTCTGTGAGAAAAGAAAAAATACGTGTCTAATGTTTTAAAATAATCTACCAGACGGACATTAAAATAAAAATTAGTCGTCTACCCTATTCGATGGTAGCTGGTAGCTTAGGCGCAATGAAAGTAATCCT